TTAGACAACAAGAAAAAGTTGTTTAACACTCAACACTCATTTGTGACACATTTCTCTAATCAAATCAAAGAAAAAGTTTTTTACAATATAAACTTTTTTCTTACGCTTTTTCTTACTTTTAAATTCACTTTGTTTTGCATAAATATATATGTTTTTCAGAATTTAAGCTATTTTAGTGTCACAATTATTTAGCAAACTTCACATTTGATGCATGTTTCGTATTATATATTGTTTTTGTAATTAATGAAAACACGAATATGAATACAAATATACTGATTATGAAATTAATTCATGGCTTTAATTGAAAATAAATTCTAAAATTATTTTGAATTTATTTTGAGTACTCGTTAGTGTTTGAGAGCATTAACTATCAAACAAGAGATTACTATCAAAAGAAGTTACTCTAAAAATAGTATTTTCAGTAAGTTTAGCACAAAGTTTGGTCTTAAACAGTGGATTCACCACTTGTTCAACAATGTTAGTGTGAATTACAAGCAATCAATGCATTGAATTAACCGCAATCTTCATTGATGCGAATGCACTCACATTACGCTAATTATTTGTATATTTCTCAATATTGATAGTATATTAAAATTATTATCATTAAATTATTTGATTATTTGTCAATTTTAACTTATTAAATTATTGACAGATAATTAAATTTTGATTTCAATATAAAATAGTTTTATTACAATAATTGATTTGAATGTGTTTTCCGAGAGAAAATACTTGAGAAAAATATAGCGATAGGGAAGGGAAAGACTGCACTTTTGTTAGACCACAGTATTATCCAAATTAAAGATCAAAGAGCATATAAATGGGTCAAAGAATAAGTACTTAACCTTAAGTTTTATGTTTAAAATTATGGTTTTAATTGACTTTTATCTCAATAAATATTATATTTCTTTTAATCGTTTGTATTTTATAATTTTTATTTATTTTTTCAATTTTATTTAAATTTTCAAGAATTATTCTTTAGATAAAGGCATCGGAAATGTGAACAAAACACTAGAGTCTGAAAAATTTAATATTATTATCATTGAACTTATGGTTCAGATATGAAATCATAAAAATTAATTAGTTATCATAAATAAATTAAATCTATTATTGTCCATATTTATAATTGAAATGTAACTATATTACTTGAATTTATAATAATATTTTAAACATAAATAATAAATTCAATGATTTGTATAAAATTTATTATGTATTAATTTATATATTTATATATATTGTTTTGTTTTGATTGAATTTCATAGATTCTGTATAACTTATAATACTGTGTTAATTAGTTTATAATTGTTAATAGAAATAGTAAAATTTCTCATTAGGAAACTTATACTTTATTCACTAATTTATGTTAAATTCAGTAGAATTAATTAAGTAAAATAAAAATTAAATTTATATTTAAAATATTTTGTAGTGATTATTTGTTAATCTAGCATATTTAAATTAAGAATCAAAATTAATTTAAATCTATACAGGTTTAATAACAGAGATTTTGTGCATAGGTCTATGAAATCCGGATCTCAACCTAGACTTTGTGGTATCAGAAATAAAAATTGAAGGACCTGGGATAATGACAGTAATGCTAAGTTATGACAATCTTTATATAGACATATTAATAATTTAAAATAATTCAGAATTTGTTATCATTCACTTAATGCTGTATATGTTCCTGTACATAAATATTTGTTTTTATAGCATACTTTTAAATTTAAATTAAAACTATATATTCAATAAATTTGACACATTTTTATTTAATTTTTAAGGTCATGTTGAAATCCAATAATTCAAAATAAATGTTGATCACAAAAAACACTCAAAACCTTACCATTAGTCTAAATCAATTCAATTTTGTTTAATTATATTTTAAGTCAAAAAACTAATGACTATTAAATACCAATTCAAACTTTAATGCTATTATTTCAAGATTTACCTAAAGATTTGTTTCATTAGTTATTATATTGTAATTAAATTAAAAATATATATAAAGAATATTTTGAGAATTTTAAAAAATATATTTGTATTGTACTTAAACTTAGAATTATATAATAAAGTTAATTGTTGTTACTCCTATTGTTATTTAGGAATATATTGTTCACATTGTAATGATTTGAATGAATTAATACATTTAGAGAATTATAACATAAATAATAATTATGTTTCAAATATTGACATCAAATTGAATTCAATAGAAATTTCTATCATTTATTAGTATTATATAAGAAGATTAAGTCATTAAAGTGACCTAAAACTCATGAATACCACCAAAATATTCAGATAAAATACTATTAATACAATTGCTTGCATCTCATAATATGATATAATACATAAAAATAAGTGGAGGGAAGGGAGCAGCTTCATTATGTAAGTATATTATTAAAAAAGTTATAACTTATAATAACATTATAAAATAATTGTAGTATACTTAACTCTATGATCTAAAATAATATGAAATTCATACTGCATTAAATATTTATTTAAAATAATACAAAATAAGATTACTTAAACAATTATTGAAATCAGATAAAAAATTATAAGTTGAATTAAAATTTTACATAATATTTATATGTGTTGATTGATTTATCATGTTTCAATAAATATTAAAAATCAATTTCATAGAAAATTTAAATAAATCATAATATTTTTAATTTATATTCATTATACCTTTAGCTAAAAGATAAAATAATATGGAACTTATTATAATATTGTATAATAATATACACAATAATATTCGTAAAATTGATTATAAGCTTTCATAGATATTTAAACACTGCATTTGGCTATCAAATATATAATAATATATTCAAAATTTAAAACAAAAATACAAAATAGTTTTCAAATGTTAAATAACATACAACATAACTTATTTGATATTTTTATTATATTAAATTAGTAAATATAAAAGTATTAACATTTTGTGACATTAATTAATGCACGAGTAGTTAGTAAATATGTAAAACATTTAGACATTATTACCTATTGTACAGTATATTAGAATTTTAGAGATTGCTTTAAACATGTTACCGGTATATTAGTCATAAAAATTAGTTTGTACTTGTAACCCTATGCAAATTTTGTAAATATATTTTTCTTAAATACAATACTAATTAAACTTTAATTTCACTTTATTTAATAAGGTTTATTAACACAATATTAATTCACTAATTATTTGTAAAATTAATACACCATTAAACACTCAATGTTATAAAAACTTTTAAAAATAATAAATGTAAACAAGTTCATTTACTTATTAATTTTAGCAACAATTCTTAATATACCCGTAATAAAAATAAATTAATATAAGAGTACAAGTATTAAAATTTTTAAAATTAAACATACCTTTTTAAAATTATAGTAAATTTTTTATTTAATATTTTATAAAAATTTCACAATAATTTGACTCAATCAAATACATTCAAAATAAATTATTAAATATATACAAAATAAAAATATATTTTCAAAAGAGATTATGGGAATTTACAAAAACCTTTTAAAACTTTTTTCTAATGTTTAAAATTAAGAAAAACGAAAATGAAATGTAAATATAAACGTCCAGAAAAATATGTGCTATTTATATAATAAAAAGCAAAAAAGTCAATCATTTATTCATATAATAAAATGAAACAAATTTCTAAATTTAGATCTCTTTAAATAATACGAGATTTATATATTTACTGTATATATATATATATATTTATAAGTATAGTGTATATAATGACTAAAAATTTGAGTTCTTCTGAAGTTCTACTTCTGAACTGTTTGTGTAAAAGAGAAGTCAATAATCTCTTAGTGTTTAGACACTCGTGAGTCCAATGAAAACCATTTTTCTTGCGATTTCTTTTTAAACATTAATTTTAATATTAATATTACATATATTCATATAATTCGCATATAATTATGCGAATTCAATTCAAGCAATCATTTAAATAAATTATATGTCGTTAACCAAAACAACAAACAAAATGTTTTTGCAAATAGCAATAATGGAAATGAAATCGTAAAATTTATTGTCTCAAAATCAATTCAATTATTATATTATACAGAAATCTAACAATTACTCTAAAAAGACAATATTTTTGTAATAAAATTATGATTTCATATTATTTAATAGAAAGATATTTCTCGTTTACAGTCAGGAAATGAAAACTTTATTGCAAAGTATTTTCAGATAAATGTTGAGAAAACGGTGTAAAAATAAAAATAAGATAGGTTAGTTAAATTTGCTAACAAAAATAGGGTTCGTATAAATTCGAGCCTCCAATTACACAAATAGCAAAAATATTGGGTGACTTGTGATACAATCAAACCACGAATACATTATACATAAATAAATCTAAACTATAATTTGGAAAACAATTTCTTATATATAACTCATGAATACAATAAAGAAGAATACAATTAATGCAAACAAATCACACAATTTCGTGGTGAGTGTTTCCATTCAATTGATCGCCAAAAACATCTTAACCTTGATTTTGAAGCCGATATATACCTGTATTTCGTTCATTAGACTAATACCTGATTGTGTTATTGTGGCACTAATTTCTCATTTGTCTCATCACCTCTTGTTTGCCAAAACAAGTCGTTGGTTGGGTTGCGTTCAGCAAAACTGGCCAAAAAGCTATTTTGTAAATGTATTTATATAAATATATTTTAAGCTTAGACTCAACGTTGAGAAAAAGTGGAAGTCTTTCAGAAAATTAAATAAGAAGTTGAGAACAAGTTTAGGCGAATGAAGGTCAGTAGGTCTTCGGGCAAACTCTCATACGATACTATACTTGGCTTTTATTTTACTTTATTTCACTCAACTCTGTCTCTCTTCCGAAAAATCTGAGGGATTGTTAACAATAAGGAATCAGTCCTTTCAGACACTCATTGCTGTGAGTGTATTAAAAAAGTTTATTATTAAATAAAAAATCATTGTGTTTTGTCTGAGTTTTTTTTGTTTTACAAATCATATATCATTTGTTTGTCTCAAACATTTACCACAAGCTATGGATTCGGCAAATATAAGCCAAGAGTTGGCTCTTCAGGCCAACGAAACACTGAAGGAGTTGTTAGAGTTTGAGGACTCCATAGACTACGTGAATATGTCGTCGCCGTCGGACACCATCTTCGCGGCCCTCGAGTTCTCCAAAGTGTTTCATTACGTGTCGGCAGTCTTTGGTATAATCGGAAATGTGTTGATTATAGCCATATATCTGAAGTTCACTCGCATTAGAAGTGTGACCAATACCTACATCTTCAACCTGGCCATCTCGGACCTGCTGTACGTGATAACTGTTCCCGTTTTCCTGATATCCATTTGGAACAACTCGTGGCCTTTCGGAGAGTTGATGTGTCGGCTGTTGCTGTCGAAGGGAGCCATTCATCGGTTCGCCAGTTCCCTCTTCCTGCTAGTAGTGGTCGCCGACACCTATGTCTCGATACTAAAGCCCACACTCAGCCACACGTTGTATAAGAAGTCGATTAATGTCAAACTCATTACCACCATAACCTGGATTATATGTATGGCAAGTGTGGCGCCGGTCTTCTATCACGCGTCCATCTATTCAGTGCCCAACTCTGACATCAATCACTGCGACCTTTTCTGGACGGGTCCGAGCAGAGAGGTGTACATCTGGTTCACTATCGTTATTGCCTTCTTCATACCAACTGTCCTCAAACTGCTGTTAGCCGTCCCCATCATATACCAGTTGTCGGGCAACGCGTCCATCGAAGCCAACGGTCAGTACTTGGCTTTCGCGGAGCGCAACAAACGGTCGGCACATCTCATACTAACGGTTACACTGTTTCACATCGTGTTTTGGTTGCCCTTATGGGTCAGCCTCATTAGCATCAATCTCATGCCATACACTGAACAACCGGACACATCATCCATACTCTTCCATATGATCAGTGGATGTATAGGAATGCTGAACACAGTTCTCAATCCCATTCTCTATATAAAGCTGAGTCCGGACTTTAGGAATGGTTTGCATGACTTAATCACTTGTATTCCGGAAAGTATTTTAGCTAAAAGTCCTCAACAGGAGAGTGAAGTGATGGATGAGAGGGCCGTCAGATCCAGTGATTGTGTCACCAAATTTGACTCAGCCATGTCCAACACCAACTAATTATTCATACACTCATTTTTATAAATAACCAAAACTAAATTTAAGATATTTTTCATTAACTTTCTGTTTATTGTTTTGTTTATATATTTCCAGACATTTATATAAAATATTTTCTATTATTGAAAATAAATAATTATTCGATAATTAAATTTTCAATAAAAATTTAATTTAATTAAAAAACAAAGGGTTTCATGAATTTCATGCCATTATTTGTTAGATATCTATAAGTGAATGAATGAATGGTATCTAATATTTACGGAAAAGATTTATGACATCCGAAGGCGAGAAGAGTTATACGAAAACATTTGACTTTCAATTCTTATGTAAAAATTGTTATTTAAAGCCATTTGAGAGCGAAATGACAAATATTTTATTCAATAAAAATAAGTGAAAAGCCAAAGCAATTCAGTGCAAAGATTTGCACAAAAAGTCCTTTTTTGATAGAAATAAAAACCGATTTTTATTTATATTTAAAGTTAGAGCTATCCATCACTTTAAGGCATTTAATATGGAGTCCGGAAGCTATTCATATTGAGTTCCAAATAAAATATTATTTATAGAAAACTTTATTTAACTGTTCGTTCACTTTATGAAAGTAATTGAAAAATTATTTTATCAACTTATTGAAAATTTTGACTTTTATTTATTTGATGTTATAAAAAAAGTAAATTAACTTTTAATGAATAATAAATTGAAGTCTAAACTATTGTTATTAGTAATCCTTTTGTAAAATAATGAGTTGTAAACAATGAGCTGAATTATACTAGGAATATAAAACTTATAATAAGATTAGATTTTTCGTTAAATTAACTCTTATCTGGGTTTGGGTTCACCGACTTTGCTATGAAGTCGGATAGCATTACAATTAAATAATAAAAACTAATTAAATGTTTAGACAATTCAGAATTAAAACAATTTTCATAAGTAATTAACCCAATGCTATCTAAACCTTAAATTAAAGAATTTCAATGTTTTATATCTAAATGCAATCAAAGCATGAAAACAAATTAATTAAAATGAAAGTAAATGCAGTGATAAGAAAGCCATTGATTTGAAAAGAATTAAATGTAGGAAATTATAGCTATATTTCAGTCGATGTGTACATTGAGACAGTTTATCGATTTTTAAATAATTTTAAGCATTAATTACCCAATTTGTTAATAAATAATTTTTAAATTTAATCATAAATCTGTAGTCTTTTATTTTCTAAGTTACTAATGATATTATAAATATTTAATTAGAAGCATTATAAGTCAATGAACCGTGGTTATACAAATAAAGTACAAGTAAAGTAAATAAACTGTATACTAGTATACGCGTATGTTATACCTGAACATTTATATAAAAATTTTTATTTGACTAAATATGTTTAGAATAATGCTAAATAATAATAAATATATGATTATTAATAAATTAATTTCTGTTTAAATGGTGCTTGTATTTTATGTGGAAACTTTTTATATTAATTACTTTATAATAATAGGATAAAATTCGCAGTTTATATCCTTACTGGTTAAATAAGTTATGATAAACCAATCTGGTATTAAAATAGATATACAGAATTGTTTAACTAAATTAGAATTGTTTTATTTATTTAAAATAAGAATAATCTTTAATTAACTTAAATTTAGTACAGATTATAATAATATTTAATAGTAATATTTTAATAAAACAGAATATATCAGATTAAGAAATTTCATTATACTTTTATATTAAATAGATATTTAAATAAATTTAAATTTAAAGTTATGTTTAGAATTGGTCTAAATATTAAAGTAGTTAAGGTTAAGTTAATGTAAAACTTATCGATAAAAATAAAATTATTAGTAAATAATTTATATATTTATAAACGAAAGACTTGTTTTAAATGAAAGTTTTGTCAAAAGTGTATAAATACTTAATTGAATTCTATTTTTAAATCAAATATAAGAAATAATTCTTTCATTGAAAACTATTTGCAAAACGAGTTTTTAAAATAGAGTTTACTAAATACTAAGACTATCTTGTAAGCAAAACATTTTGATATTTAAAACTTATTTCCCAAAATTAAAGTAGGATTTGCACGCAATCATCGATTCTTTATAATCTCTCAAAATTTATTGTACAATAGAAAAAGTTCATTTGTGGACACTTCAATGGGCATCTAATGTTAACTGTCCACAAATGAACTTTTTCTATTGTACAGTATAGTTGGTTATTAAACATTAGAAAATTTATTTTTATTGTTTAATTTAAGTTTAATATTGTCTTTTATTTTAAATAATTTTTATATAAATTAACGTTTTCTTCAACATTTATGAATGTCGTGTCTGATTAATCAATATAAAATTAGATGTTATTGTAGATTAATTAATGAAATTTTATCTTATATTATATTCAAAATGTTGTAAAATCGGTGAATTAATAATGCTTGGTTTGCTAAATATTCTTATATTTTTTCAATTATTTTATTTAAGTTATACAGTATTTTATAATTAATGATATTTTAATAGCACAATTATCATATTTATAGCTGTTATAAATTTATATATTCAATACCACGAAAGTACTGGTCTGAATATGGTATACAATATTGAATGTGTATAGAAATAAAGTATCAAATAGATATTTGCATTTCCTTATTATGAATCATTAGTGAAGACATTTTAATAAAATATACCGTGTATACAAATCCATGGATTAACCCTCAATAAGAAAATCTAACAAATCAGTGGTATTATCGATCGTCAAGAAAAATACTATTGACATTAGTTTGGGTGATTAAAAGGAAAATTCTTTACTTTTTCCCTCTAATGAAAACCTAGAGTCGTTTAATTAAAAGTAATTGAGTGAATGGTCAGCAATGGGTGTGAGCTTTGATTTAATTATACTATCAAATGGTTTGTGTAACCAACCAAATACTAAACTGGTGTAACAATTAAGGCTTAATAATTACGGCAGTTGTTAATAAATCAATAGATTGCTTAGCTTTTAAAACCTGTAAATTTTTAGTTTTTAGATTTCAATACAAAGATTCATTTATCAAACATAACTTTCTGGTGAAATAATTTCTCTTTTAATGAAGTGATACTATAGTAAAACAATGAACATTTTAGACATTAATTGTATCAAATTAATGTTTGAATCACATTGGAGATTATGGTCAGTGCCATTCAGTAAATAATGCATTTATTTAAAATGTAAATATTTTATTTTATAAATTTAATTAATTTTCCAATAAATCCTATTCATATAATTGAATATAAGACTTAAATTAACATAATATTAATAAACTAGAAAATGTGGTTAAAATATAATATAATAAATAAAAGGATTGTATGTAACATAAAATATTAATAGGAATGCAAGGACTGTATTGTACTGTAAATAACAAAAAATGTATAAACGATTTAAAGTCTTCACTTTTGATGGTTTAGCGCTTCGAGGCTTAAGTTTATGTCAATATTTTTAATATAATTTAATTTTCTTCGTCACAAACCATGACTTAAACTCAAACAACAATAACCCGTTTACCAACAAAAATAGGTTTGAATTTAATTTATTTTCAGATCAATCAATTGGCGGATGAGATAAATATTTAGCATAAAATTGAAGAAAATATTTGAATTGCACTCAAAAACAATTCGCAACTTTTAAATTAATATTGCAAAATCATGTGCAATATATTTGAACATAATAAAATGTTTCAGGTGTTTGTGTTCACATATTTTTAAATTAAATTAAATTTCTTTATTTTTTAATTTGATTTTTACAGAATAAGTGAACGATTCGAGAGAGAGAGAGAGAGAGAGAGAGAGAGAGAGAGAGATTTAGGTTTTCTATTATGTAATCGTAATAATTGAAAATTTATAAACAAATCTTTTGAGACACTTTGTAGAAAATTCATTGAGATTTTTTTTCTAGAAATATTGTTAGAAAATAAAGACTAACTTTAGTCTCATTGTAGCATTCAGTCGATCACTTCAAATACATTGCGCTTTTGCGCCATTCATTCATTCATTGCACAAACGTTTTTAGTATTTCACACACAATTTCATTACATTTTACGGACCATTCGTATTGGAGATTATAATTCTCGCCAACATTTTCAACTGAGATATATAATTGTTTACTTACTTTCGGTTACTGACAAACACGTAAGATCAATGCTTAATTTGGTTGAAATGAGTCTTAATTAACGGCTAAATTAATATATATTCTGTATATTTCAAAATTCTATAATAAATATATTCTGTAAAACTTTAAGAATGTTTACTATAAAGTAAATGAAAACTAGTGGGTTGTGTTATAAAAGTGTGTAATACTAAGTGAGTGATTGATACTTAAACTAATACTTAAAAATATAATATATTAAAGGAGTAATTAATCACAGAATTGTTCGCCATTGAGATGTCGAGCGAATTGAGTGTTGGGAACTCATCGGAAGCGATAATCTCTTTGGTTATAAATAGTGATAATATGTCTCGCAATGCATCCCTCGCTGTCATGAGAAATGAAAAATTGGTTATTCTTGAAATCGCAATCCTTTCCCTTATATTCATTCTCATAGTGTTTGGTAATTCATGTGTTTTAATAGCCATTCATTTACATAAATTCAAATCCAATCGTATGTATTATTTTCTGAAACACCTGTCCATAAGTGATACGATAACCGCCGTATTTAATGTGTTGCCCCAACTGGCCTGGGAGATCACACACCGATTCTACGGCGGCAATACTCTTTGTAAGACTATTAAATACTTGCAAATATTTGGTCCATACCTGTCATCGTATGTGTTGGTTATGACGGCAATAGACAGATACCAAGTTATTTGCAAACCATTGTCCAACTGTGGGTGGGCTCCCAGTCGCTCCAAACTAATGATCAAAATTGCATGGATTGTCGCACTTTTGTGTTGTTTGCCTCAGATTTTCATATTTTCCTATCAAGAAGTACCGGGAAATACAGGTGTCTATGACTGTTGGGGTAATTATTTTGTATTTTATTCACATTGTGTAATTTTTATTACCTAAATTTTAAATTGTTTACTTTATTTCTAAATATAGTTTCAAATATTATATAATACAAAATATACTTTGTATACTATACTGTACAGTACCTTGTTTTAAAATAACTTTTGAACTTTTATTTGACATAACATAAGTTAGTCTAAGAAAGCTGTTTGGCAAACATTTCTAAGACCTTTTTATTATCTAGGATCAATTTATATTGTTTAAGGATTTAATCACAAATACAAATTAAATACTTAGACAATAATAGGTTAGAAAATTTAAGTTTATTGAATCAAATGTAAGATTTTGAGAGACAATTTTTTTATTATCTAGGATCAATTTATATTGTTTAAGGATTTAATCACAAATACAAATTAAATACTTAGACAATAATAGGTTAGAAAATTTAAGTTTATTGAATCAAATGTAAGATTTTGAGAGACAATGTGAAAGCACTGTTCAGCGAGTGTTTGGCTTCAGTTTAATTGGTCTCTCAGACTGCCATCACATTCAAAGCGCTCCTAATCCCTGAGTATTTGACATTTAGACTCAAATCAGAGAAACTTTCACATAAATAATTGCATGTCTTTTATAAATATAAGATCACGGTATCAAAGTTTGACATCAATTACAAACATCCCTTTAGTACTTATTATTATTATTGTTATGTTTGTTTGCTTTGAGACAAACAATTAACGAATTGAATGCGAGAATACAGACTAACGATTGATAATTATGATTGAAAATTAGGTACATTTCCTAAGCCATGGGGCGAACGAATATACGTGACCTGGTACGCGGTCAGTGTATTCATCATACCGTTCCTCATCTTAACGGTCACTCATTACCACATATGCCGTGAAATTTGGCTCAATTTACACAAAAAGCGAAAGAGTTTAAAATTAAACACAAAGAGATACCAAATGAATGCAACGAAACACACAAACGACTCGCAAATGGATTCAGTGACTGACTCGCAGACTAATAGCCGACAAACAATTAGCGCCAAAATCTTAGTTACCGTCGGAAAGTCCTATCGATTCAAAGGCAGAGCAAAACTAGAGGTCAGTCTGGATAAGGATTTTGGAGAGGATTTCAGTCCACGAACGCATTCAATACACGGCTTAAGTCGCGCTAAAATAAAAACCGTTAAAATAACGGTCGTTGTAATGCTGTGTTATATCATGTGTTCAACGCCTTTCATTTGCGTCCAATTATGGGCTTATTGGGTGCCATCCGCCCAGGAATCGGACATTTGGAATGTTAAGTGGATTACAATTACTTACTATAGTATACTATACTTATTATACAACATTCATACAAGTCACTTTTAAGCATGATCAGTTATCATGAGGTTTTACTAATTGGTTGTGTCACACTCTAACATTTATATCAATTTTTTTATTTTTTCTTGAATCCCAGAATTTGTTTTATTTCATTATTATATTATGCTGGATACAAGTTCATCACATACCTATCACGTGAAATAAAGTCATCTGATATATTAGCCTAAAGTATTATACTTTTGTAAACACAATAATTAAAAGTCTACTTTTTATTTATCTTTATATGTCTAGTCTGGTAGTAAAAATTAATTTATTTGTTAAAAATTTTAAGCATGTGACAATAAAATCAGCATAATATAGTACGGTACTGTATTTATACAGAATATTAATACCAACATTAATATAAAAATTGAATGAAAGCTAAAATATAAAAATAAATAAAATTTCCTAAAAATAATCTTTTATATAATTAATATCTAGAAATTTTGAAGTGATATTTTAATATAAAGGTTGCAATAAATCTCAAATGTCTGTATTATAATTTACTTGATAAATAAATGAAAAATGATTTTTATTAAATTAGTGGGTTTTATGTAATAATTGAGTGATTAATGAATTTTAGTTTTACTAAAGGTTGTGATCGATTTATTATTTTTATTAAATACAGTATTATATTACAGAAACTGGTGAACCTTCTTAATATCTGATTATAATATGACTTATTCAAAATTAAAGATCATTAAAGATATATTATTTCTTTGCCACTTAATTATCTACAAAACTATCAAAAAAACTTTACGTAAATATAATTTTTTTAGAAACAAAAATCATTCTTTACTGTTTATGAACTAGAATTCAAATAATAGTTACACTGTATATAACTTATACAAAACATTTAATTAAATTGTTATATTATTTTGACTTTGAAACATTCTTATAATTAATTAAACTAAAATGAAATTCTAATAACAAATGTTGATTTATATGTTCAATAGTTTTACCAAATATCCCGAATTTATACTTTTATTCAAATTTGAACGTATGAGCCAATATTTAGCATAACATATCAAAGTATTGTATTGTAAACTTAATTTCCGTTTTTAGAATTGTTTTTTTGTCAATTGTCGACTAAAAAATGATTTTTTCAATTACTATAAACATTTTCACAACTTTTTCATTTGAAATCAATCATTTATTTTGACAATATACATGTTCTGAATATGAAATATGTTTAAGCAACAAATAAAGTTTATTTGTTCATATTTGCGAATAATTAATAGTTATTTTTAGTTTCTGTTGGATAATTATATTTTATATTATTAGACTATTCAAATAAAAGCTCCTCATAAAAGTCACATTAGTAACCTTGCGTAACCAAATTAAATATTTCTCAAAATTAATGATTATATGATTTCCCCCTACAGGCCCTGCCATCGCTATATTAATGCTTTTGCCGAGTCTTAACAGTTGTAAGAATTCAAATAAATTACTCAAAAGCTTTCAAATCAATTACAAACACTCTATGCACTAAAAAACATGGTTTTATCTAATCTGATAGGTGTTAATCCATGGATTTATCTCTACTTCAACCAGAATCTGGTGACAGCACTCATGCACTGCCTTCACATCAAATCTGTATCCGAAAACAGTTGTAAAAGAGATACTCGACTATCGAAAGGATTCAACGAAACTGAATGTGCACTCAAACGCAGACCTATAGGTGTGAAACACGACAAACAAACCTCGTCTCCAATCAACACATTCACCTCACAATCGCAGCAAAACACCGACAAAGTAGTCGATACACTGACTCTCAATAGTAGCGATGCTTTGCTATATAAACGTAATGAGGATTACTTATAATTATTTTATTATATAATCATTTCAAAGATTACCTATATTTCTAATATTTTGTTGTAAATATAAAATCATATATTATATATTATTTATAATCAAGATCTCCAAGTGAAGTTCTTATAATTTTAGTAATTTATTTTTAGTATTAAAACAATTTATAAAATTTTAAAATGATTTAATTATAAACGTAGTTCAAAGTTTGTTTTGTTAACCTGTTAACTAATGTACAATATTTAATTTTGATAGATTTAATTTGCATACTAATACTGTATTAATAATTTATTGACTGAAATCAAGTAAAATAAATGTAAAAATNTACTAATACTGTATTAATAATTTATTGACTGAAATCAAGTAAAATAAATGTAAAAATATTTCAAAGATGGCATTTATAAATGCATTCAATCTTTAATGTCTAGAAATTGTGTAAAGAATTGAGAATCAATGCAATAAACTCCATGTTTATAAACTATATAACATTTTATGATATGCCAAGTGTTGATATGTTTATACAACACATTATACATGTACAATCAAATTTTTATTATTTTAAACATCATAGTTTTTCAGTTTGAATTTTTAACTAATACACATGAAATTAATCATGCATCATTTAACTATGAGATATAATATTATAATAGTATTGATATAACCCTCATTTATAATTTCAAAGTTGTTATATATTTGTTATTTAAAATATTAATATTTTATCATATTTAATATGTATATTAAATGTGTTTTATTATTTTTATTGTAAATTTAATAGCAGCCGTTTTAATAATCGCGATTTATATAGTTTCCACTCTTTACGTTTATAAGTAATAAATTATTAAATTAAAATTTTAATAAAGATTTAGATGTTTTCCGTATAATGTTGGTACAATATTAGTTTATTATTTTTTAATCAATATCATTATAATTTTCATACTCATTTCAAGTGGCAAACTTTTTATTTAACTAAGTTTAATATTATAATTAAAGTTATCTAAAATTCTATCCAGAATATTACAAATAAATAACTTCATTTTTAAATA